AGATATGCAAATCTTTAGAGAGGGGCCTTTCCCTGGACAAAAACTAGCATCTGGGAGCTAAAGTGAGATTTAGAGCATGGGGCTGGCCAGACTAGAAGTGAGGCCTCTCGCACACAGACAGAGATGAGGCAATTTCCACACACCAAGCTCAGCATAGCCTGGCATTAAAGGTGATGAGAGGTTGGTAACTTTGGTGCCAGCATCTGAGAAGGTGTCCCAAGCTCACTTGGATGACCTTTACTGAGAACTCCCACTTCATCATCCCAAATAGCTTTTGCCACATTGCTGGGTTTAGGGAGGGGCCACTGGGCCTGTGATTCTCAGTCTGTTGGTCACAGACCCCCAGGAGCTTTCTGGAGGATCACAAAAAGGCACTTTCCAGCAATAATCAGTAGAAGGGGGTTTATCAGGTGTTAGTTTGTCTTGTGGTCTTACTATCTCATAGGGTGGTCTCTAGAATGGAAAGTGGGAGAATCACAGGGCCAGTCTATGCTGTTCCCTAGGACCCGGGCGGGGGGAGTGGGAGGAGGAGGAGGAGAAATGATACCATGTCTTATGGAGCTCTGGTTTCCCAGGAGCTGCAGGCTGTATTTGACATCTATTTATCAGTCTGGCAGCTCTCCCCCACTAAGTTTGCACACAGATCTTTGTAGCAGGTAGGATTAGAAGTTAAGAGTACACATCCACTGACAGAAAACTAGATCAAGAAAGAACTAGGTCTTCTCTCAGAGGAGGCAGCAGCATATTAATGAGGGGGTGAGGAGGAAATTATCTCAACCTCTTCAGCAGACTAACCCCAAAGTTACCATCCCCTGAGCCTCTCCACTGGGGCAATAAGCCAAGGGCATCCTCTATCCTTCAGATGCATCTGATGTGACCAAGGGAAGCAAAATGGGGCAGCGCCCCCTCAGAAGGGAGGCTGTTGAGAGAGTCCCTCTCCTCCTGACCAGGACCCAAATGAACAAGCACACTTTTGGGCAAATGTTCACTTGCAGCAGAGGAAGGGGCTTTCTCCTCTGGCTTTGCCAGGCATAAGCTGGCTTTTGGCAGTCACTGTGACTCCCATCAGAGTGTTCCATACTAACAAGAGGGCACAGGCAGGAAGGGGAGGGATGAACCCAAGACCAGTTTGGGAGCATCTGAATGCAGTGTCCTCTCCCACAAAGTCTTCTCAATCACTCAGCTAGGAGGGGATCCTGCATCCAGACAGATGAGGCCTTGAGGTCCGGCAGCTGCTACAAATATTCAGCTGTGTCACTGGAGCTTCTCTCCCTAGGGGAAGGAAAAGATGATGATCAGCTGTTACTGCAGTCCCCTGTGCATTCACCATTTTCTCACAGCCAGGGGCACTGTTCCAAACCATTCCTTCCCCATCCACTAAACCCAATTTTTGCTGTAATCCCAGGAGGATTGATCTGATGCCTCCCTTTATTTCAGTTCAGAGGCAGGGGGTGCTCTTCAAGATGCCTTTTATCTTCTCCCTTTATTCTCCTCCCCATACATGCACACAATGCCCTGCATTTAAGTGATCTGCCCATCAGGCCTAGTAGGATGAGGAGCAAGAGGACAGGAGAGGCCAGACACATGTATGTGTCTTTCACTGGTGGCTTTTGCTCACACTATCTGCACTGGAAATAAGGAGAAGAACACTTTTGTGATGTGGTTCTTTCCTGGTTCTAATCAGGACAGAGACTCCCAGCACACTGCAAAAGCTGGGATCCCCTTAGCCTCTCAGGTTCATTGGTTGTTATGTCAGCATAACTGCATCCTCTCTTGTCTGCTCTGAGGAGCTCCACTGGGTTGTGTTCTCTACAGACAGGTCCCTGACCAATACATTCCCAGGAAAATGGGTCAGGAAGGGAGCTCACCTATACTGACAACTGTGAGCATCTTGTCAAAGAGCTCCCCTCACTGGGAGCAAAGAGGCTTGGCCCTCTCCCTCCTAGGTCATGCTTTGGTTTGGAGACAGCCCCTGGAACATTAGGGATACCTGCTTACCTTTCGTGGAACTGCTTTTTGAGGTGAGTGAGAGTTGGGTCAGTCTGGTTCTGGTCTGGACCCTCCAGCTGGGACTTTCTTAGGTACTTGGCTGTCTCATGTGTCCTTGCCAGGTGGCCAAGTATGCGCTCTTGAGGCCTCCTCTCCTCAGACTGCCCCTTGTCAGTCTCCCAGCCATCAGGATGCTCCACAGGTAGGAAGGAGCTGTAGCTCTCCTCTAGAGAGCCAGCACCCTCATCGTAAAACAGGAGGCTCCGTGACTGAACTGTCAAAGAGGAAGGAGTCACTAAATGCCGAGAACAAGACCAGGTCTCAGTAGCATATGCCCACTAATCTCACTCAGCAGGTAGTAGCTCATGAGTAAACTAGTGCACATATGTAGCCCATGAACATATACATACCAGCTCTGTTGCCTGGGGCAAGTGCTTGTATATAAAACACAGTGCCCTCAAGCATACGCTTGGCCAAACTGGATATAAGGCCCCGATTTTTCTCTCTCATTTTTTGTCCCTTGGCATCTATGCTGTTTTGGTGCCACAGCAAATGGAGAATCCATGCTGGTGAGAGCAGGGCACCGCTGTGAAGCAGCTTGAATTAATACGGCAGTACCCACAGGATGCTCTCACTACTTGAGTCTCAGTTGTGAAGAAGCCCCCACCCCTTGCCATAGCCCCAGCAGGCATCAGACGACTCTGCTGTGAGGAAGCTCCTGCTGCCAGAATCTCAGCAGGGATGGATGGGGACCAGCTGCAAGGAAGCTTTCCCTGCCAGAATCTCAGCAGGCATGGATTAACTCAACTGTGAGAAAGCACCTTCTACTGTATGTGTATCTGGAGAAGAAGTGTTGAAGCCCTTCAGGACGAGAGAGACATGTATGGTCAGACTCACTCTTACTGGTTGTATAAATGTCTGGTGCTGGGGTTGCTTTCACGGTCTGTGATGCTGAGGAGAATTCAGGGAGACATGGCATCATGGATCCCAGGACCAGAACAAAGCAGAGCACCAGCACCTGAGAGCAAAATGTTAGAAAACAGTCAGGGCAGCCAGCCACAAGGAATGTACTGATCCTGCACATGCCATGCAGGCACTGGGAGGCCATCTGGTCCAAAGGGTAACTGGGTCACTTAAAATGCAGAGATGCAAAGGATTCACTCTGCTAATCATAGATTATAAGAAGGGGGTAAGTCTGCGGTACTCTGCTGCTGTTTTTGCAATATCCCGTTTCACATCCAGGGCTAGTAAGACAGGGGCAATTTCCACATCTCATGGTGTGGATAGGAGAGGCTGTGAAAAGACACTGGGGAACATTCTGGGGAAGATGGAGCCTAAACAGAAAGGACAGAGTCCACCATAACCAGCTCAGAGCCAGACTCCTGGCACCAAAAGTGGATTGAGTGGTCTAAAACAGGGGGTGGGGAAAGCTGGCAAGGAGCACATCTGCTCAGTCAGGAAAAAACAGACCTCTGTACTCATCACAAGCTATGATGGAAGTGACAGAGGAACTAGAGCAGGTACAGCTTGACACTGGGGATAGGTTCACCCAGTGTCAGAGTGAGGAGCTGAATAAAAGTAGACAAGTGGCCAAAAGGAAAAAAACCTCTATTGCCTATCCTAATGTGACAAGATCACAAGCTAACTTAAGTGCATGGTGATCAGAGAAGATGGTGACATAACTGGAATCACTACAACATCATAGAAGGTAAAAAAAACAAAAAAACCCAATTAATCAATGAACGATAGTAATTCCTATCTGTAAGCTATACAGGAGGACAGATTAGATGACTGACTGGAGATTAGCAGCATACCTAAAGAGCTGCAAGAATGCAGAGAGAAACCAAGTCAGAGTGGGAGGAACATACATTACATCCTGTATAGACACAAATCTCATGTTGTAAGAATACAAGTACACAAACAGTGTTACACTGCCTGCCTCCAGCTTAGAAAAAGCAGACTGTGTATCCAGTGCAAAGAAAGATCAGAGGTGACAAAGTCTAATCAGACAGGTAACAACAAGTCATTTCTACTACAATGTGACACTTGAGTAGTTTATATGAAATAAGAGTTATGGAAGCAATTTCTTGATATCTTATGCAACTATTTTTTGGAACAGAAAATTCTAGAGCTCAAGTGAGGACAGTATTTTCAACTCAGTTTGAAGTAATGCTTACCAGAGCCACTAAATAGTAATGGCCATCAGATAATTACAGGAGTGGAGAGGTACCACATATTTGCACAATGATGCTAAGTTGTACAAAGACTGCTTTTACAGAAGGGGGAAAAATGGGTTAGGGAAAAGCCCTACACTGAAAAGTAAGAAATTGAAAACATTTAGATTAAGCATGAAGGATACTTAAGCATGTGATAATGGTCACAGAAGCCAGGCAGAACCCTCAATAAAACAGGATTTGGGGAAGGGTAGAAAAAAAATGGTAACTCTGAATGATAAGCAGCAAGGTTCAAGAATCAGAGAGGTATCCTTCAGAAGCCAGTTCAGAGAAGCTTAAAGTAAGGCAGGTGAAATGTAATATAGAAATTAGGAGGCTAAGGGAAAAAGTCTGAAGAGATCATAGCCCCAAATAGAAAAAAAAAAAAAAAACCAGCAACAAATACTTAAATATTTCAGAAGCAGGAAGCCTGCAAGAGAACTGATATGTCTGCTGGACTGCTATAGCATGAAGGGAGCAACCAAGACAGATCAGGTATTGCTGAAAAGAGAAATGATGTCTTTGCATCAGAAGATGTCTCAGAGAGAACTCTCTCAGACTGACACTTTCCAGGTAATAAAGATGAATAATTGTCAGTGATTGAGGTGTTGGAACAAACTCTGATATATTAAGAAGCAGTGAGTCACCAGGCCCAGATAGTTTGCCCCTAGAAGCTCTAAAGAAAGGTAACACAGTCGTAGCTGATTAAAAAAAAAAGTATTAAAAATATTCCCCTACAGGGAGTACTGGAGAGTAGCAAATGCCCTAGCTAACAACTTTAAAAACTTAAAAAAAGGTGTTGGTGGGGAAGGAAAGGGAGGGGGACATGCTAAGAATTTCAGACCAGCTAGTCTTACTTCTGTATCAGAAACAGGAATCAATAATAAATTATAAATATTTAACCTACTAATAAGATAAGAACAGATCAGAAAAACATCTGCAAAGAAAATAAAATAGCCCCTCCAATTGATTCCAAGAGTAGTGGATAAAGGAAAACAGATAGTGAGACATTCAAAAAGCCTTTGAGAAAATCCTTCACAAGTATGTCTTCAGACAGCTGCTATCTACTTTCAGAAGATGCGAGGTAAGTTCTAACACTTTCAATGAGGCAAAACAGAGACTAAGAATATAGAGTCAACTTTCATGATGGCTAAAGTTTACAAGTGGGGTGCCTTCAACTTTCATATTAAAGCCAGTATTACTTAATGTGTCAATAATCTGCAAAACAGGGAGGTAACAATTAGTTTGATTAGTCAAAACTAGATATGACCATGAGGAATTACAGAGGGATTTAACAAAGTTAGATGAATAGGCAGCACAGCAGCAGATTACATTCGTTGTTGACAACCACAAGTTATATGCAGTAGAGTGGAAAGAATACTTTGAACTATTCACACATCTTGTCATGTTAAAAATTAACTATAACTGTATTATTGGGAGAGCTCAATGACACTTGCATTCGATGTGCAACGGTTAACAAAAAGCAAACAAAATGTTTGCCTGAAGAATGAGATAAAGTATAATGCTGGAAACATTATAATACCATTGTATAAAAGGAATGGTGTCCCCTCACCTGGAAAACTGCTCAGTTCTGGTTACCCTCTCTCAAAAAAGAAACAGAAGATGGAGGGGGGTTCACAGGGAAGTGATAAGAGGTATAGTGAGACTTTCATAGGACAGGAGATTAAACTAACCAGTGCTAGCCTTTTTCAGAGAGGAGACATAGAAGAACTAGAGTTAAGTAATGAACAGTGCAGAGAGGGTGAAGCAAATATTCCAGCTGAACCTCTCTCATAACACCAGAACAAAGGGGAATTCAATGACATTCAGAGGCAAGAGATTTAAATCTGCTTAAAAGAAATGTTGGGTTTTTAAAAAAAAAAAAAACACAAAAAAACACACAACACAGCCCTGAGACAACATGTAGGACTCATTGCCACAAGTTCTCCATGTGGCTAAGCATTTAGCAGGATTTATAGAAAGGATTAGATGTTTATGCACAATGGGAGGATCCATAAAGAATTTGGGATTAGAACTGAATTACTGACAAACCTTCTTGCTTTGGCCCCTGCCTCAACCTCTAGCTGAGGGGGGTTCAGAAGAAACTTCCACAGTAAGCAGTTGATTTTAATAACTGCCCATTGCAGGGCTTCTTGCACTGCCTCTTAAGCATCCAGAATTGGCTACTGTAGGACAAGATATACTGGGCTAGATGGACCCTGGTCTAATCTGGAAGGGCTGTTCTTTTATTGGGCCTCCAAGGTGGAAAGAGGCTCTTCTGGGCATGAAAAAAGATAATGATAATTCCTAGAGAAGATGTGTGCAGGTAAGTTTTCCTTTCTATTCCATGGAAGTAAATAAGCCTAAGCAACTCCTCACCCTGTTGGACACGTGCACAGACTCCATCAGTTGGAGAGAGTTGCCTCAAGCAGCAAAGCATGCAAGACAGAACAGCCCCTGGTGTCTCTAGGAAGGGAATGATGGGCAAGGAAGCATGGTCAATAGGGAATGGAGGACACAAAACACATACCATTAGGCAGGTCCCTGTCTGTGTAGAAGCCATTTTATAAGGTCTGGAGACCTTCCCAGCCACCAGAGCCTGGAGCTTCTGTAACTGCTGGAGCAGAGTCCTAGGACAAAAAAATAACCAAAAAGAATAGAATAATGCTAAGGCATGGATCACTGAGGGAAACGAGACTCTGGCTCCACTATGCACCATAGCTTTGCCCTGGATAAGAAGTGCTCCCCCCATGCTCTCAAACCCTCCCGCCAGATGGGCCTAGGGAGCAGACAAAAAGTGAAAGAGAGCAGCGGAGAAAATGGTACTGATGGGACTGGGGGGCAGGATACTTCTCATGGTGCCACCTTTGCTCCTCTGCTTTAACCTGACTGTGTGAAGAGAAGGGTAAGTGAGACCCTTCTACATCCAAAGTCAGAAACAGACTGCAGGCCAGGTCACCCAACTGGGTTCAGTACCCAGGGCGAGATGCACATTCCAGACCCTCACTCACATCCCAATGTGCATCAGGCTGGAGGGAAAGA